GGACAGGAGCTGGTTGAATGGACATGGGAAATCTGGGGTGTAAAGGAAGGTGTGCTGTCACACTATAGGGAGAGCAACTAGGGTCACAAAACAATATGTGTATAAATTTTTGTATGAGAAACTAACTTAAACTGTAAACTTTCACTTGAAGCACAATTTAAAAAAAAAAAAAAGGAGTTAGGGGGATGGATTCAATGACCCTCAGCTCTTCTGTTGACAATAAGGAAACCTTCCTCAGCTTCCCATACCTCAGCCCTGTCACCTTAGACTCCAGAGACAAAAATGCCCCTTGTGTTAGGATTTTCACAGTCCCCAAAGGCAGGAAACTAGCCCACGGCTGCCCCAAGGAAGTGCATCAGTTGCTAAAGACTTCCAAACCTCAAGCATGGCCCAGAGGCCATGGTGCCAGGCTGGGCTAAGCCTCCCAGGCGGCTGGGCTGTTCCAAACACTGTCATTCTATTAGAAGTCATATTTAAACAGTGTGGGAAGTAAGAGCAAGGCCTTGGAGACAGAATATATCAAGCAGGACATTTAATTTGATTTAAGGAAAATGAGGCAAACATTTGAGAACCTAAATAACTAACCAGTAATTAAACTAACAACGGGAATGCCCTTGCACTACAACCCGGCGAGCACAGTGGCCTTTATGGACTGTATTTACAAAGAGACCTGACAACATAATTAGTCCTGTAAATTTTATGCAGCCTGCAGCTGAGGAGTGATGGATTTTGTGTGTGGAGGATGAAACGGAGAGAAATGAGGTGGATGAATTTCCATTTTCAGTAATGAAATTAACACTGCTTAATTAGTGAAGCTGACAAATAAATGACCAGGAAAGATTTAAATCCCTACAAGTGTATCTCTGGCCTGGGCAGGCTCAGAGACAAGGCTAGGGTGCAGTGGGACAGAGCAAGAGTGAGTTTAGTGCTGGGACTCAGGGCCTTACGTTGGCCCCTTTTGAGGGTGCTGCCCTCAGAGGAAGGCTAGGCTGGACAGCTGGCTCTCCTGTCCTTCCAAGATGTGGCCCACTGGGAAGCTTCCTGCCCTAACCCCTGTGTGATAGCCAGTCAAAACCACACAGAGTATCCTGAATGTTCCTCCATCACTGCTTGACAGACCGTGAGGAACCCTCATTTTCCTGCTATGAACTGGTTAATGGGCTGGAAAGGACCCTTCAGTATAGCAGGCTAACATAATTGCATCCCAGCAATTCCAAGTCCTTGTCCTGTCCCATGAGCCTTCTCTTACTAGACTAGCACCCTTTGCCCTCCAAAGTTCCTCCATCTGCTTTTACCTGCTGACAGCTTCTTTCTCCCTTCTGCCGGGAGTCTGGCTCTAGGGGGTATCTGAGTCTCTGTCCTCTAAGCAGCTTGACACCCCCCCGACCTGGTACACAGCATCCATAGGGGGAGGCAGGTGTGAATCCTTCTGTGCTGCTGCCTTGACTCCCTTTTCCCAACCTGCTTGCTCCTGGCCCGGCCTCAGCCAACCTTCCCTGTCCCCGCCTCAGCCAACCTGCCCTGTCTCCAAAGTGGGGGATTGGCCCCAGTCCTTCCTAGAGTACATGTCTATTTCTGCCAAGGTCTTATTTGGCTGGTTCATGGCATAAATATCTGGAAATTCCAGGCAAAAGGAGGTTTATTAGGTCTGGGCTAAGCTCATTAGGGTCAAACCCAACAAACCCAAATTCTTACTCCAGTGTTGTCCTCATGAGGCCAAACCTGATTATGGGAGGTTGGTATCTGGGAGCTTTCAAAGACACTGTGTGGATGCTGATGAGGCCAGCTGCTCCCACATGACCCCACCCAGGAGCCAGGGTACCCTCTGCCTGCCTCAGCTTTGCCCTCTTTCTTCCATGGAGGCACCTGGGCCCTGAGGCACTCAAGAACACAGGACTCCCAGAGGCAACGACAGGAGTGCATGCAGCGGCCTTCCTGAGTACCAGCTCACCCTGGCTCTGCTCAAGTCTCTGCAGGGCAGGGCTAAGATATGCAAGGCTCTGGAGAATAGATACCCGTCTGAGAGCCGCTCAGCAACAGCAACTGCAGATACCATCACCACCAGAGCTGCCAGCCCAGGCCTGCTCTCTAAGAGAGTAGATGGGATCCTTGTCTGATTCATCTCTATCCCCTTCTCTGCTCAGGCCCCGAGGGTACTGCAGGAAAGCTAGGGGAACTAACAACAGACAAATCAATAATGACTGTCCTCTGGGTGGGGGGCAGTTCTTACAGCTCACTGGACACTTCTGCTTCTTTTCCCTCAAGTGGGCCTCACAACAGTCCTGGGATGGAGGCCTGGCAGGTGTCAACCTCTCCATGTCACTGATGAGGAAACCAAGGCTTAAAGGGGCTTCTGGCCCCAGATTGTACCACTGGGAAATGATCCTCCAGCCAAAGGGTCTGCAGCTGTGGGCGCCACCCAGGCATGTAGATGTGGCTAAAATGACCAATGAATGACTAAGAAACCCTTTGTGGGCAAGTGCTTGTCAGTCATCTGTTCTGGTGGGTGGGGTACTCTTCTCCACCGCTCCTGGCTAAGGCTGCCCAGACATGGGCAACCTCCACATGATCCTGACCAGCTGATCCTGCTGCCCTGCTGCTGGCCCTGTGTGGAGGAGGATGGGGCTGGAGCTGAAGATTCTCCCCTACCTGCTGGGGACTCTCCCAACCCCCCACCCCAAAGCCTGGACAGAGAGCCTGGGCTGAGAGCAGCCTCACAGGGGGTCCACACCCACTCCTAGAAGGGCCTGCCCAACCCCCAGGCCCTGTTCCAGGCCCAGTAGCTGCAGCACAGGGGGAGGAATGTGCGAGTTCCTTGCTAGAGGCGGAGGATGCTTCCCACTTGGCAGCAGCCCACCCTCAGGAGTAGGGACACAAAGCAGGCATTTAGGGCATCCTCAAAGGCGGCCCAGACCACGAGACTGGGAGCAGCTCCAAGGCCTCCTCCCTGAGAAGAATGACAAACACCAACTCCTCCTTGTCCCCGCCCCCCACCCCCACCCTGGTCAAAGAATGGGTAGACAGGCGGTCTGAGGGGCAGAGACAAGGAGCTTGCCTGCCCGCCAGCCAGCAGCGGCTCAGAGAATGGAAAGGGTTTTCTGTTTGCAGAAGCAGGTCCTCCCAGCCAGAGAACAAGCCACTAGCATTGGGAAGTGGTACCTAACATGAAGTGTGGGGCCCTCTCCCGTTAGGAAGGGAGAACAGCCAGACCAGCACAGAGATAGGGGCTTCTGCAGGGACAGAGGAACAGTTATCACAGTGCTGCCTCTCTGCCAGGGGCAGCTAACTAGCAGGGGCAGGAATACCCTGGACAACAGTGGTCCCCCAGGGCTTAGGTGCCAAGTGATAAACATCAAGTACTCGCCTCCACCCCTGCCTGTCCCAGGGGTCCCAGCTGGGAAGAAAGTCCTGATAAGGAGGCAGGGAAGGCAGCCTGCAACACTACCCTCCCTTAGCCCCCACATCCAATCCCTCCCCAGGTCTGGTCCAGCCTACTCTCAAGGCAAATTCACTCCTCCATCCTTATTCCACCATCAGGGTTCAATTCTGCCATCTCTCTTTGGGATGTCTGCACCAGTCTCCTAACTGGTTTCCCAGCCTGCAGCCCTTCATTCCTTCCCTGCACTGGTCATATCCCTGCCCTTCTTAAATTCCCTCAGTGGTTTCCCCATTGTCCTTAAGAGAAGGTTCGAGTATCTTGGAACAGCTTATAAAACCTTTGGGGGGCCTACCCTGCCCCCCTGAAGAGCTCCACTTCCTGCCATATCTCTCATGCTTCCAGGCCTTTGCATACATTGGTCCATCTGCCAAGAGTGCTCTCCTCCTCTTTCTTCACCAGAATAACTCCTTCAAGGCTCAGCTTGGCATATTCATTTTGGTATGCTCCTTTAGCCAGGACTAACTGCAGGAATGTTTCTCCATCTTCCTCATTTAGACTCTGAACCCCTTGAGGGAACTGACCGTGTCCTAGTCATCTTTGTATCTCTCACACCTGGTAAAGAACTCTGCACTGAGTAGGACTGAATGAAAAAAATGAATGAATAGCTAAATCACTTACAGGAGCCATGTCCCACTGCAAACAGATCCTTGTACTTTGGATTCCTGCAAAAGAAGTATGAACACATTGGCTTGGGGAATGGGCATGGCCCTCCCATGGACAGGCACCTTCCCATGGACACTGATGCCTAACTACCCTGCAGGCACCTACTCCCTGTCTCAGGATGGCACCAGCTGGGAGACCTGGGATGATCCCACAGTCTCATCAGAATCCCAGTCCTACTTTTTCCATACTGCCGTGTGTCACCCTCAAAGTGGTTAAGTGCAGTTGAAGCGCCCTGCTCAGGGTTTGGCACTCAGCAGGCCCTCAGGGTCTCTGAGTTTGCTGCAATGCCTATACTCACCAGCAGAGGGCGGTGACAGCCAGGCGCTTGGCTTTGTCGTTCTGGAATTTCCAGAGTGGTAGCAGTGTACCCTCCTGGTCTCGGTATTCGTCAGCAGCATCCTCATAGTACTTAAAATCTTACACACACACACACACACACACACATGCACACAGAGGCAGAGTCAGCCCTTTGCACTTTATGGCAAACCCAGATCCACCACCTACTGGCTGTATCTCCTTGGGCAAAACAACAACCTTTTTGTGCCTCTGAGTGAAAAACAATAATAGTACCTGTCTCAAAGGGCTGCTGTAAAGATTAATTGGAGTTAATATATGTGAAGTGCTTAGAAAAGTGCCTGGCAAATAGTGAGTGCTCTATATGTGTTAGCTATTGTTATTGCCATCGTTGTTATTGTCAGAAGTAAATTACAATAAAGCAGCCATAACAGCATGGATAAGATTCTAGGTTTGCGGCCCTTGTCCCATGAGTTTCCCCAGCACTTCAGAAAGCTCGGACTGGAGCAGCCAAATTTCAGGGGCTCAGCTGCCAGGGCTGACTAACAGTGCTGTCCATTCTGCCTCATAAATCCCTAAAATTCAGCCCATCTTCATATCCACTGGCAAGCCCCACTATAGTGAAGCTGCCTGGATCCCCCATGGGCTCTCTGAACTCATCTTCATCTCCAGCCCTAAAATGTCTCTGCTTCCTGTTTTCTCTAACTTAGGTAGAAGCTCTATCCTTCCACTTGTCTAAACCAGAAATCTGGGTCATCCTTGACTGATCTCTATCAACTCTCATATTTCCATTCTGATCATCTTTTTAATCTATTCACTTTTCTCCAAACCTACCTGGATTGTTACAACATCCTCCTAATGGGTCTCCCTATCTCAAGTTACTCCTCCTCTAGTTCATGTTCCACAGAGCTACTGGAGTGAATTTATGAAAACATAAATCACCACACTCCTCCCACCCCACTAAAACTCCCTCAGTGGCTCCTGTTACACAGAGAAAAATATCTGGGCTCCCTGGCCAAACCAAGGCTCCTGGCCACTACTCCCATGTCATCTCCAGCCAGCTGTCCAAGGACCCTCTATATCAAATAATGTCAATGAGTCACATTGTCTGACGCTTCCGTGTGTTTTTACATGTTGTTTCATGTCCAAAATGTCCTTCTCCCTCATCTTCCTGGCAAACTCCTTTTCACTCCCAATCCAGATCAACCTTCTCCTCCTCTGTGAGGCCTGCACTTTCTTGTTGAGCAGAGTTCATTTCTTCCTCCTCTGTTCCAGCCCTGCCTTCCTCCACCAAAACGTCTGTCACATTGCATGGCCTCTATTTATCGCTTTGCCTGTCTACCCCACCAGAGAGTTCCTGGAGAGCAGGAAGCATGTCATATTCATCTTCGTGTCCCCAGTACTGAGCACAGGGCCATCCACAGAGTAGACACCCAATGACTGTTCAAAGAATGCAATTAAATAAATCAACAGAAGTAAAATGGTTCTCGGTCCTCTTTCCAACCAAGAGTGATCCCTTAGAAAATAACTCCTCTTATCTAACATGGTCAATGACATGCCCAGGAACTGCCCCAGCCTCTCTTATGATGCCCCACACCTTGAAGTTGGGGACTACATTCAACCTCAAAAACATCTCAGAACAAAAAAGATTTGAGTAGTCAGAGAGGCATGAGCCTTGATCACATCAGAGATCCCTGTGCTTGGGCTATGTTTGAAAATACCTCATTTCAGAGAGATTAATTTGTAACACTTCTCTTTTTCACTTCTTCTTCGTGGTTACACTTTCCCAAAGGGAAAGGAGGATGCAATTAAAAAAATCAAAGTTCAATGCATTTTTATGTGACTGTGTGTTCTTATAAATGAAAATGGTTCATCAAGGCCAATTTCTCCATGGATATTAATCAGGTTTGCAGCTCTTTGGTGGGCTGGTTGCAGAGGCTGGGTTTCAGGAAGCCAAGCTGTGTGAGTGACAAATTCATTCACAGCTGCTGTGTACTTTGACAGCTTTGAAAAGCACTCAAGGTCGTTTTCCAGCCTGAATGATAACGAAGGGGCTTGTTTCGGCTGCTGGTCTTGGCAGCCCTGGTTTCTATGTCCCATGGGTGAGCAATGAGCATCAGGTAACCAAGAAGAGCCCTAGGCTGTCAGCTAAGGAGACCAGCCAGCAGCAAGGGGCTGCCAACTCTGGGGAGGCAGCTGCTCCAAATAAATGCACAACCTCTTAGGGAAATAGAAGCCACTTGGGAATGAGCTCTTCATGCCATGGGAAGGATTCCGTTTCCCTGATTCTATCAAAGACACCAGAATTTCCCAGGCCCCCTGGACTTAAGCATTTCTGAATCATTCTCTTTCTTCACCTCATCACTAATTAATCACCAGGATAGACCTATTGAGTGTGTTTACTTGAAATGTCTCTTCCAGCTCAGTGGCTATATAGCCATAATGCTGAAGTGCTTAGGCTATGGATCCAAGGGGCTTGTGTTCGAGTCCTGATTCCACCATTTACACTAGCTGTGATTCCAAACAAATGGCAACATTCCAGTCTATTTTTTATTTATAAAATGGAGATAATAATGTATCCACTTTACAGTGTGGCTGTGAGGATAAAATATGTAAATTGTATCACAAGATGCCCAGCACCTAGGACATTCCCAGTAAATGTTAGCACTGTTTTTGGCTATTATAACTGCTCCCTTTTCTCCCTCCCCTGTGATGCAGGCTGGGTGAGGTGTGGCAAGGTTCACTCCACCCCACACCTGAACCTCTCCTCCATCTTTGTCCCTGCATTCTGCCCAGTCACATCCTCCTCCAGCCCTGCTCTCATTAGGCTGTGTCCCTACCTGGAAGGCTTCAGTGTCTCTGAACTCTCTTCAGAGAAAGCTCAGATTCTCCACGTGGCATCCAAGGCCCTTCATAAGCTGGCTGCAACCATCTTTCTAGCCAAACTCTCACCATCTCCCAACAAAGTTCCTGTTTTGGTCATTGAGTCCCCAGGGTCCCTTCCTATTCATTTCTATCACCAAGTCACTGTTTATGCTGTCCCCCAGCCAGGACATCCTCCCTCTGCTCTCCATCCACTCAAACACTGCTTATCCTTCAGTATCCAGCTCAGGCCTCCCTGACTTGACTGTTCCTGCTGTTCCCACTCATCCCTCCTTTCCCTTCTTGAGGATCCCAAAGGCACTTTCTATCTGGTATATTCTAGCATGAATATCATCTACAAGCTGCATTGAGTAGAGGACAGAGCACAAGGTTAGGAAGCTCAAGACCTAGATTTGGGTCCCCTCTGCAATTCACTAGCCAGGTGGCCTTGGTCCTACCTTCCTTGTTTGTAAAGTAGGAGTAATAATCTCTGTTCTGCCTGCCTCCCAGGACTGTTTAGAAGATCACATTGGATAACAAATGTGTAGGTATGTTTGCTGCACCGTTTTAAGATCTCATCTCTATACCCATTTTTTAAATGCCACTGTTCATGGTTCACTTGCATAAGTCTAGTTTCCCCAGTGACATACTCAGGAGGGAGGAGTTAGTTTTTCTCCCCTTGCACCTACAAAACCTAGCATGGGACACTCAAATACTGACTTTTTATGAGGGATTTTTAAAAAAGTACAGTCAATAATTGTGGTTCCCAGCACTTTATATCTTACCTTGAGCAACGTCATCGTACGTGTTCTGGTTGACCATGCGCTCCACAATTTTAGCAGCTTGGGTCACTTTGGCAATGTCATCACTCTGTGGGGATACAGAGGCCAGAGGTCCTCATAACCCAGCCCCTGGCAAGGTTATGTGCTCTGAGATACAGCCCAGACTTGCAACTGGTTCAGCAATGCCCCTCTGACACCACTTACCCCAGATAGCTTTGTAAAGGTATATCTCCATGCCTCAAGGCCCGGCTCGCCTCCACCCCCTTCTGGGAACTCACACCTCACAAGTGGCACAAGGGGTCTGCACTGCTATAGCTGGTCCTAGGTATACATTCTCTGTGGCCAGAGGACAGCACCTACCTCTCCAGGGAGGTAGGGTTCAGCTACCAGACTGTCTGACCACAGAAAACACTGCCTGATGTGGGGGAGTCAAGCTTGCCAGGAAGCTGCCAAGGGGAGGGGGTTCCTGCTCTGGGTCAGGGAGTGGGGGGAATTGTTGGGACCAGATGAACTTTGGGATTATGATTTTACGACTTCAGTGAATGTCCTCATTGACCAGTTTCCCAAGATAAACTTGGAGTCAGTTTGAACCACTCTCAAAGGATGGATCCCCAGATGCGACTTTATAGGCCTCCACCACACTGGTCTGCATCTTTCCTCTGACATCATCACCACTGGGCACTGGATTAAATACAACAAGTATTATTACATTTAATCCTCACAATAACCCTATGATGCAGAGGCCATTATCCATCCCCTCTTTATCATGAGGACTCTAAGACTCAGAGAAGTTAAGTAACTTGCCCAAGGTTGCCATTTGTAATATTAATAACAACAATAGCCACCACTTATGGATGAGTATCAAGAAGATACTGTGTTAGGAAATGTCTATACATTATATCAGATTCTCACAACAATCTTTCAAACTAGGTATCATTAGGATGAGGAAACTGAGGTTTCAGAGAAATTAAGACCCTTGTCCAAGGTCAGCCAGCCAATAAGTGGCAAAGCCAGGATGGAAACAAGGTCTGTGGATTCTAGGGCCCATGTTCACAGTCCCATACACAAAGCCAGTCCCTCCACAGTCTGGCCATCCTCTCCTGGTCGTGGGAGACTCCGTGCTCCAGATGTGCTCGGAGTAGGACAGGGTATGGCAGATGGTCACCTCACCTGTTCTGAATACTATGCTCCTTGAGCAACCACGTCTCTCTATTGGTTCAGAATGAACTTGTGGTCTCTGAACCTTTCCCTCAGTCCTGTCCTAATCTTTCAGATCAGACAAGCTTGCATTCACTTCTGTGCATTCACCCAAATTATCAATAAGACAGAAATTTGAGGTCCACCACTGGAGAACCTCCTACAGGGTATCATGAAGTTATTCTGTTTTCTCTTCTTCCACACGCTTGAGTTTTATAGCAACCTAGTCAGACTCAGGTCTCAGACAAAGCTGTGTCACTCTGCTCACGTGCTATGCCTGGGCACAGGTGACTGCCTTTGTGTTTTATTCCACAGACAGCTTGGTTCAGTACTAGGATTCTCCATTAGAGCTGCATTCCCTTGGGGAAAGGTTGCACACCACGGCACTCACTGATTTGTATGTATGTTATACACCCCAGTGTCCTGCCTCCACTGCAGCTTCTTAGTCCAGAGGACTGGAATCTGCCTGCGTCACAGCCCCCCATGTCAGCCAAGCTGGAAGAACCCAGTGTGATGGAGGGGTGGTCCCTTCTCCCGAAGGGTGTTAGACACCAACTCCGGCAGAGCTTAGACTTTTTTTTTTTTTTAATTCTCTGGAATATACTGTAAGAATTTATTGATTTTCAAGACAGCCACATAAACAGACCATAAAAAACAACTGAATGCTTATTCTCTGTAACACTACCAAGACAATTTAACTTAGTACATCCATACACACCAACATCTAACTGATCCAATTAGGCTACTTAATTAGCTATATTTTCAAAGGATGGTATTAACAAACACGTTTGTAGAGCATATATGCATACCGGGTTTAAAAATGAAATTTTCTGCTCCTCCAGGGGTGGTTAAACAGCTTCCATTAGCTTTTTATTTGTCTTTTCATTATCCTGGCTTTGACAATGAGTTAAATGTTTCTTAAAGCTTCTTGGAAAAACTGATCTGTTTTCAGCCTCAGTCACAGGGACTTTTATTATGGTCTCTAGGTCTTGGTGACTGCATTTGGGGTCTCTGCAACCATGGTCCCAACACAGAGCCCATAGCCAAACTTCTAATGGCTCTTCATGTGAATCCTGACCCAGGCCAGTGGCCCTTCTGAAGACCCTAGCCTCAAAAAGCCAAAGGTCTGGATAGGGAAACCTTCAGGTCAGGGGCTCTATCTTTCTCCTCAGGATTCAAGCAACCAGCATGGGCCATGATTTCCGGGTACCTGTTCTGCAACTGAATGAAACTGAATTGGGGCAGTTCCTATTAAGCCAAGGCAGGTAACCCTCAAGCTTCCCCTAAACTGTGCCATTATCAAAGTCACAGAACAGGGAATTGAGTAGAAGTGGGTACATGGTACAGTGGTTAAGCACTTGGCTGCTAACCAAAGGATCAGTGGTTCGAATCCAACAGCCACTCAGTGGGAGAAAGATGTGGCAGTCTGCTTCTGAATACATTACAAACTTGGAAACCCTATGGGGGCAGTTCTACTGTGTCCTATAGGGTCGCCATGAGTCAGAATTGACTCAATGGCAACGGGTTTGGGCATACTGCAGACAAAGGAAGCAGAACTTCTTTTCACTGACAGGACTTCTATACTGGGGTGGAGCAGGACCACTTCCCAGAGAGCTGGTGTGGGAGCTCTCCAAGGTGCTGAACCCAGCCCCCAGCTTCCTGTGGACCTCATCCCTCCGACCCTATCCTGATCTCCACACTGGGACTCTGGCCCCCTTCAGTATCTTCCTGTGGTGACCCTCCCTGCAGTGATACATCAGTGTAACTACCATGGTGATCCCCAAGCCAATGCCAGACAGTAAGCCCTTCAATCATGACCTCTATAGTAACCACACTTCGGTGACTCCTACATGGCTCCTCACGGTAAACCCAGGCCATGTTGGCCACATATATTAGCCTACGCTTGCTGGTACCTATGATCATCTCTGACCTGGATCTGTAGATTCACCTAAAGTACTGGCACAAGTAAACCCAAGGACTGAAGGTTAAAGAGCATCTTATCATCCCAAACCTCATGAGCCTTCACCTCAAGAAGGTGGTGCCTTGTCCTTACATACCACCCCTATGCTGGGAAGACTCCCTAGCTCTTCTAGGAGGCACACAGGCCTTTAAATAAGGTTCAAGTCTTCTGTTGCCCCTTAGTTCAACAATCCTGAGTCTCTGCTAGCCTCCAGACCTATATCAAATTAGGGGAAGGTGTGGAATGCCAGAGGTAGTTGTAGCTGTCCTCACATTTTCCCACAAGGAAAGAACTACTAAAATCCATACCTCAACATTAGCCCCCTTTTTAAGTATCTGTGAAGCTTTCCCAGATAGCCAGGCTTCTGTCTACCCAGGGATCAAGGACCCACCCAGACATTCTCTGTGACAGAACCATGGGAACCCTCACCAAACCTGGGACTCCATAGATGTCAGCTTCCTCATGGCCATCTTTCCCATTTTTTTAGCCACTGGGGTCTTTGTCTTCTCCTTCTCTTTGGTCTTTTCCTGCTTCTCGAGCTCCTCTACATAGGCATCATAGATCTCCCACTAGGCAACAGGAAGATAAGAAGGATCATCACCAGACACAATCTTCACCTAGCCAGCTCCTCTTCAGCTTTTGGGCTTGGGGAATCAACCATGCTAACCCCTGTCAAATGTCTCCATAGCATCCTCTACTTGGGCCCTTGTAATTATCTATTCAATGCCTGTCTTTACTGCTAACCCTCAGTGCTAGGATAGGAATAAAGGAGCTCTCAAGACACCTCTGGGCTGGGCTTATCCACCTTGCAGCCCAAGGGCTGGGTTGCCAGCTGGAAATAAGCATCACTCTGGCCTGCAATGCCCACCGGGCAGTAAAACAGGCAAACATTAGGCTAGCTCACATTTTTGTTGGTGATATATAAGACTCTGAATCAGGAAATCAAAAAAAAATCTCCCCCCATGGAGATAGGATAAACATACTGGCTCAGACTGGCTGTCCACAGCACTGACCACAGCTTCTCAGCACAAAGAGGAGATGATCAAAAGGGAAGGGAACCTCTGCTAACTGGATCTGACAGCAAAAGAAGCCTAAAATTTAGTAGCAAAGGGAGCAGCAAGGATCTGGGGCTGGACAAATGCCCCAGATCACACTGTGTGCTCCCAAGAGCTGGGCATTCGCTGCCACCTGGAGGCCAGATAGGCAAACCTTACATTTAATAATTCACCCACAGGTTGATACTCCATACCACAAAGTGCTTCAACATTTGTTATTTCATTCAGAGTCCCCCAACCACTCTACAAGGCAGGTTGCCATCCTTGCTTTACAGAGAAGGAAACTGAGGCTTTAACGGTGACAGTTTTCCCAGAATCTTACAGTATGAGTGGCAGAGTCAGGGCCTGAGCTTAGGTCTCCCAACACCATATCCTGCCCAAATCAGCATGGCTATCCAAGAGGACCGGAAGGGGAAGAAGGAGGATCTGCAGTAACACTGCAGGCTGCAGGAAGGGCCGGGTCAGAGTGCTAACACTCTGAGTCAGCGACACGGACAGTCCATGTGAACAAACATTCTCCCCTGGTCTCAGAGAAAGTTCTAGAAGCCATGCCTGTTTGCAGCTTGCACAGCCTTGCCCTGAGGGAAAGGGGCTGGTCCAGGGCTCACTCGCTGGGGACATACTGTCTCTTGTGCCTGGTATCAGAGCCTGGATACTCAGGTAAATGAGCAAAGAGGTAGATGGATGTGGAGGGCAAACTGCCAGACGAGTTCATGATCAGGCTCTCTTGCTGCTGATTGAGACAAGGATCACTGCAGGTGGGGAGCTGTGATGGGTTTCAGGCTGGCCCAGGGTCTTACCTGATTGGCTGTGGCTGAGAAGTTTGTCCGGGGGGGAGGCTCCATCTGACATTCTCGGTCCTAAATAGAAACGACAAGAGAAAACCCACAGAAAGCTCTTGACTTCTTCTCACTTAACCCAATAGTACATCCTTTGGAGAAACATTTTGGTTGGAGCTGAGTGGGTGGGATGAGACACAGAGCAGGGGAAATAAAGAGGGGCCTGGGCAAAGGACCAAATATACATTAAGCCTACATTTTTTCTTTCTATTCAGGCTTTCTTCAGAAGAAGCCTAAGCCAGAAAGTAGGAGTAGTGAAGCCTGATTGTGCCAGTTTCAACAAAGATAAACTCCAAGCGGAGCATGGACAGAACTGCAGGAAGCCAGGGGGTGGCCAGCCTCCAGACACAGAGCACAGAGGTCAGCCCATAGCCATCACGCTAATGTCCCTCACCCTAAGAAGGCTTCTTACTAAAACTGGAGTCTCCAGCTCCACCAGGGAAATGCGCCCCTCACCAAATAATAGCACAGGGGACATACAGGTGATGAGGAGATGCCAAAAACCCACCCAACAGACCTCTGCCCTCCAACTGCAGCTCCATTTCTGTAGAACCCTGCCCTTACATATGTCAGTCTCCTACCTGAAATACTGAGAGGCTCCTTGGCCTGGTACTCAAGGTTCTCCATGCTTATGAGCCAGGGAACTCTTCTAGCCTTTTCCAGCTAGTCTACCACAGATACCCTAACTCCAGTCAAACTGGCCCCCAATCCCCTACCCTAGCACATTGTGCCCTCCCTTCTCCTCCCCAGGTACTGATTTCTAGCCCCTCCTCGAATCCCATTTCAGGTTTCAGCCTCTTAGTGGAGTTGTGGGGTCCCTTAGGACTCCCTCTAAACTCTTTCCTGGACAGCTTATAGGAATGTGAATACATGCTCCCAGCTCTCCTTGGAGAGATAAGCTGTGGTTTCTACCCTTGCCAGGCTGAGGGCTGCTGGGGCTTAGGTCAGGTCTGCTTCTTCTCTGGCTCGTACAGTGCAGAGTTGTGAGGTAAAGGGGCTGGCGTAGGGGCTGCTCTACCCGGAGAGGGTTGTTGAAGGTCTGTGAGGCTCTCTCACTGAAGTTAAACTGGTTGGTGAGCTTCCGCTCCTTGGGCTGCATAGGCGTCATCAATTCTTCAGTCACTTTTTCAGCTGCCTGGAAAAAAAAGACTCAGGAGACTGGACTCAGTTGTGAGAAGGAAGTGGTGGGGAACTGGGAGTGGGGGGAAGTCCTATCCTGGGCTAGGAGGGAGGTGGGAGAGGGTAATGTTGCCAGAAGCATTACCACATGCAGCCTCTAACTTCTCACCTTTATTCCCCACCCCCCTCAGTCACAGCTTGCACTGGAAGGGAAGGGATGAAAAGCAATATTATACTGCACCTCAGCTGCAGGAACATCTGTTTGACTCCCAGCTTCAGCTTCTGCTTCCTTGGGCTCTTCTTCTTCTTCAAGAATTTCTGTATCTGAATGCACCACCTTGGCAGACTCTTGAGAACCTTGGTAAGATGGAGCTGATGAGCCTGAAGTCCAAGCCCACCACTCCAACCCTTGGTAAGATGGGCCTTATTGGTTTCTGCCTTACAGACTCTCCCTGCCCCTAGGTTCTCCCTGGACTAAGCTTCATAGAGATGGGCTTTCATGAGGGATCTGAGAGGCTGTATTAGTTCCTGGACCAATCCCAGACAGTCAGCAATATTGGACTTTATATAAGTAGAGGTTCTGCAAAATTCTGGCTTAGGGATCTACTCCCTACAGTCAGCAGGGGACTGGGCTTAGGGCTGCAGCTTCAGGCTAGCCTGGAGTCCTACCTGCCACTAACTCATCCCGGTAGTGCTGCCGCCGTCCTTCATCCGAGTCTTTGGGGATCAGGTTCCCAACTTGGCTGAAGTGAACTGCCAGTTGGTCCACAAAGCCAATAAGCTTGTATGTGCCTTCCTAAGAAGAGAGACTGAGTCAGACCAGAGGTCTGTAATTCTGACTGGAATCAGAATTTAGTCTGCCTTCATTCTCAAGGGCCAAAGACAGTCCACCTCTGTCCATAGGAATCTAACTCACCAAATCCTTAGCTAAAATGAAGTTTCCACTGCATTCCAGTTTAAAGAAGAGGAGGCAAATGAAATCAAGTTTTTCTGTTTTTGTTTTAAGTTCTTATCAAAGACTTATTTTAAAATACCTTTTCCCTTCCAACCTTGAGCAGCTCTGAGCTTACCTTTCACCCACACAGGTGCCTTGTCTCCTACATCCATGCTAAGGTATCCCAGCTCACCTGTCTCATCACAGACCACCGGGAAGGTCAGATAGAGTCATCAAGTATACCTGACATGGCCCTCTCTCTACTCTATTTAGTGGATGCTGGGGCTGAAAAAATCCTCAGAGACAACCAAATGCCCTGGTCTATGGAAGAGGATCATAGAGATCCAGAGAGGGTTTGGCACTTCTCTAGGTCACACAGTGAAAAGCAGGGCTAGGCTTAAAGCTCAGGCAACCTAGTTAATTAAGTCTTCAACAAGTATTTTTTGGACAGCCACAATAGGTCAAGTATTTCTAGGTGCTTTGTATATAAATCTAAGCAAAGCAGACATGATCCTTGCGTTCACAGTGCCTATAGTCTGGTTCCTCTAGACTGCCCCCTCATTGATCAGCATCCTAGAAACCACTAAAGTTGAATTTGAGACCAAGGGTCCCCTCCTTCTTTTAAAACAGTACTGCTCAACTTTTTTTAAGTCATGGCACAATAGCAAATAATTACATTTGTTTGGCACATTAGGGTAAACTCATGGCTACAGGCAGCTAGCCCATGGGCTCCAGCTGTCCCAGACCCAGTTGCCCCTGGAAGGCTGAAAGGATCACTATCTCTGCACATAGGTAGGGAAGCTCTGCCTTAAAAAGTCACACAAACCTCCTCGCTCAGTAGCTTAGATGGATGAGGAGATTGGACAGTGTAATAGTTAAGAGCATGGTCTTTGAAGCTGGGCAAAGTTGGGTTCAAATCCTGATTTTGTCTCTTATTATTTCCATGACATTGGGTTTAACCATTCTAAGTCTTAATTTCATCATCTTTAAATGAGGATAATAATATCTAATTTTCAGGTATTAGATACTGTAAGCATTGAAAATAATGAAAGTTTTAAGTATTGAAAATCACAAAAAACAATTATTAACATAGTGCCTGACACGTAATAAGTGCTCAATAAAAATAGTAACTATTATTATGATGATGGAGGTTCCCATGGGAATAAAATATTCATACAGTTGTCATTTGAGATTTTGCCTTCATCCTGTCCCCAGAAGTTGCCTGGACCTTCCTCTTCAGTTCAGGATGGAATTCAGACTCCATTTCTTCTGTGGAAGGAGGGAAGGCATGCCTAGATCAGAAACATCTGTCTCCCTACTTCAGCACTTTAAGTGAAAGTAGTAGCTTCAGAGATCTAAAGCCCTTAGATTCCAGCAAAGAACCAACAAGATGGAGACCACCTCTCTGAGAGGATACCAGGTAGGTGTGGGTGGCTGTTGGCAGCTTGGATAATGTGAGCCTTCCTGGAGGGCTAGGTCTACCCAGGTGGCAGTTGACTCATGGGAATCTTTTCTAACAAGTGGGATTCCCAGGGGACAAGACGAGTGCACTGCTAACTGATAAGGCAGTGTTAATCAGTCCGTAGCATCCTATGGCCAACATACTGAGTCCTAGGCAGAAGGACAGGAGCCCATAGAGTGCACCACTCTCCAGCATAACCTCAAGGAGGGCAATTCATCTTCCCTCTGCCCCTTTACAGGCTGCCCAAGGGAGACCATGAGCACAACTTAGGAGTGGCGTATCTCAAGAAATACATCTTTTTTAAAAAAACTGTGGTGAATATATAACACATTTGGTGGATAACAACACATTTGCCATTCCAACAATTTTTATGTGTACAGTTCAGTGACATTACATAATTACATTCCCCATGTTGTACAACCATCACCACTCTCTGTTCTCAAAAATTTTCATCACCCTTAACAGACACTCAGTACCCCTTAAGCAATACCTCCCATTTCCCCCTCTCACCCACCCCTTGTAGCCACTGCTAAACCTTAGTCTCAATGCATTTGCCTATTCTGCGTATTTCACTTAAGTGAGATCATACAATATTTGTCCTTTTGTGTCTGACTTATTTCACTCAGCACAATGTTTTCAAAGTTCACCATGTCATAGCATGTATCAGAACTTCATTTCTTATTATGGCTGAATAATATTCTATTGTATGTATATATCACATTTTATTTATCCATTCATCTGTTGATGGACATTTGGGTTGTTTCTACCTATTGACTATTGCAAATAGTGCTGCGATGAACACTGGTGTACACTTATATGTTTGAGTCCTTGCTTTCAATTCTTTTGGAGATATACCTAGGAGTGAAATTGCTGGATCATACGGTAGTTCTATGTTTAACTTTTTGAGCAACCACCATACTGTTTTCCATAGTGGTTGCACCATTTTACAGTCTTACCAGTAATGCATGAGGGTTCCAGTTTCTGCACATCTTTGCCACTATTGTTGTTTTCAGGTTTTTTGTTTTTTTTTTTTTAATCATAACCATCCTAGTGTATGTGCAGTGGTATCTCATTGTGGTTTTTATTTGCATTTCCTTAATGACTAATGACATTGAGCATTTTTTAAAGAAACACATCTTGATTTGTTCCAACCTCTTTATAGAGGGATTGACTACTCAATATTAAATAGAAACAGAGTATTCAAGGAACTGTTATTGTACAGGAATATTCATAGTTGCTTTATTCGTAATAGTCAAAAAGTAGAAACAACACAAATGTCCATCAACAGATGAATCAATAAACAAAATGTGGTATATTCATACAGTGGCACATTATTTGGCAATAAAAAGAAATGAAGTCCTGATACATGCTATAATATGGACAAACCTTAAAAACATCATACTAAGTGAAAGAAGCCACATGTTGTATGATTCCATTTATATGAAATGCCTGTTGTTTTTGTTGTGTACCATCAAGTTAATTCCAACTTACAGAGACTCTATAGGGCAGAGTAGAACTGCCCCATAGGATTTCCTAGACTGTAATCTTTACAGGACCAGATTGCCAGGTCTTTTCTTCCACACAGCCGCTGGTAGGTTCCAACCACCGACCTTTCGGTTAGCAGCTGAGCGTTAAACCATTGTGCCACAAGGGCTCCTTGTAGAGTAGGTAAATCTATGGACAGAAAGTAGATGAGTGGTTGCCTAGAGCTGGGGCACCGGAGGGTTGGGGGTGACAACTAAGAGGTGCAGGGTTTCTTTGGGGGATAATGAAAATACTTCTAAAATTGATTGTGGTGATGGTTATACAACTGTGAATATACTATAAGCCACTGAATTGTATGCTTTAAATGGGTGAATTGTATGGTATGTAAATTATATCTCAATAAAGCTGTTAAAAAAAAAAAGAAACTATTAACAGTGGTTGTCTCTAGGGAAGGAAACAGGGGAGGGAGGGGGTTCAGTTTTCATGTTCTTTTGAATCTTTTGAAATTTGTACCATGGATTTTTATTACATATTTTTATTATATAAATATTTTATTGTATAATTATATATATATATATATTTATTTTTACTTTATTATTTTTTTAAAGAAGCAGTGTAATATTGCTTTGGAGTCAGACAAACTAGTCCAAATCTTGCTTTGAATCCTGGCTGTGTGACTTTTGTAATTTGTTTCATCTAATTGAACCTCAGTTTCCGTAAAATCAAGATAATAATAGTTCTTATATCAAAGAATTGTTAGGATTTAATGAAGTATCCTACATAAGAAGTTTAATGTAGAACCAGACACTGGCACACAGTAAGCACGGAACGAATGCGTCTTAAAATAATGAAATAAAAAACATACGTGTCACCCCCACTTTAGCTCAAAATGTAGTCTGAATTTCTCTTTAGTCAGTACCCACAGAAGCTGATCTTGTTATGCCTGAAAACAGTGTTGTCCCCTTAAAGATGTGCCACATACGTGTCTACCAAGTGAGAACTCATCCACGCCATGTGTACCAAAGAAAGGCCCTGACAGGGTCACCTGCCTGGCTGGCTGTGATGTAAGGAGATGCTGAGAATGGAGCTTTCTGGGGCTTCCACCCAGGGGGCAACGTGGGGGTGGAGGAGGCAGGCTCCTTCTTGTCCAGAGGGGAGTTTGTACTCCACCCATGTGTCTGGCTGAAGGAAAACCCAGATTCTAAAGACTCAAAAGTTGATGTTAGTAAAGACATTTTGTACTCATTTGAAAAGATTTTTTAACTAAACGATTCACATGAGGATTCCTGAAAAGAGTGGGCTCTGCAGGGCACTTAAGACATTACAATTTGCAAGACTGCAAGGGAGATTCACAAAGAAATTTCAAAACTCTCTGGACAACTCCATGTAAAATCCCAGGGTCCAGCCAATGATCTCAGTTTAAAGGTGGTCTCCTGTCAAACAGCTAAGAGGTTTTTGCAATGTGGCAAGTCACCTCCAAGCCAAGGAGCACCTACAGGCCCTTGCCCAGGAGGGCATGACTTACTTTGAAGCTGTACCTGACGATGTTCTGGGGCGCGTGTGGGTTGTTGGCTGTCAGAATCCGGGTGAACTCCTCCTTTAGCTCCTAAGGGACAGAAATACCAAGGAATTACATGTGGAAGGCCCCCTACCCCCAGCCCCTTCGAGGCTTGGGAAGATCCTCCCCCTGCCCAGGATGTCAACAGGCATCTCATACCTGGGTTCTGTGAAGACTCCTAATCAGTACAATGGAAGAACACAGCTCTAAAGTTGGAGTAGGTGGAAGGAGCAAGGGCAGGATGCTGCCTGCTCACTTACCGCATCGGTCAACTCCAGCTGGTCGGGTGGTCTGACTGTGGCTTTGGACTGGGACCATTCATCTGTTCCTTCTCCCACATCAGTCCCCGAATCTTCATCCTACACAAAAACCTCATTGAAGATCTAGAGTGTCTGATCCTACTCAGATAAGCAAGCAGTGCTGCAGGAGGATCCTTCATCCACAAATCCTCCCAGAAGCCAAGCTCTATCTCTGACAGAGTATACAAAACATACAACAGATCACTCAGATGACTAAGACAGTCCTCAAAGTAACATCTTTGCTTTTCAACACTTTAAAGAGGTCTTTTGCAGCAGAAATGCCCAATGCAATA